TGCCTGTGGCAGTTGGTCGCCAGCTTGGCGTCGATGTTGCTGTACTTCTGCTGCAGCTCCTGAGCATATATGGATATATATATATATATATATATATATGTATATATATACCATGATTACTATGACATGTCCACTCATAGTTGCAACTGTATTAGCTAAGGGTCCGTCACCTTGTTCACCCGCTTAGCGAGCCCATCCATGTATTTAGTGATCAAGGACGAGGGGAGGGCACCCTTCTGGAGCATTGGTAGCAGAGGCTGCTGCTGCTTCGACGGATTCACTGCCGACCCATCAGCGGATGAGCTTGGCTCCATGCCTGCTTTTGGGGCTTGGTTGGAGGATGATGAAGAGGGGTGCAGGGAAAGCGACCGAGAGAGACAAGAAGGAAATCACGTACACGAAAACGTTATTGTGCTCATATGAGGAGAAAGGAAGCGAGGGAGAGAGAGAGAGAGAGAGAGAGAGAGAGAGAGAGAGAGAGAGAGAGTGAATGAGTGAGTGAGTGAGAGAGACAGAGGGAGAGAGCTTGATAGTCAAAAGTTACTTGTAGTTTGACAACGTCAGCTAGATGGATCATCAGTCAATAGTACCTTGGCAGCTGTATTTGGTTGGCTAAGTACTCAGCTGGCGTGGGTTTGGGTGTTGGAACCATTGGGTTGTTGAGAGAGCGTGCCTCGAGCGGCCATGTCGAGGTCAGGCTGGAGTGGCCCCATATCCATCTCGGAGGCTAGATCACCCGTCATCTCATACTCACCTTCCTCCTCGATTTCACGGGTTTTCTCCTTCTCCCAGTCCATCTCCAGGTCCTCTTCATACCAGTACTTCGTCACCTTCTGGTACTTGTCGTACCTAGCACAGACAACAAACGACATGGTGCGTATAGAAGGCAAAGACAACCGCACGGTAGTTGCAAGGCCAAACTGCGTGGTGTAGCCCGGCCGGGCTTCGCAATACTCTTTGATAGCTTTGATGCGAGGCCTCAGTTCACCGGAAAACATGTGAGCAACCCCAAACACTGCATACACCGCCTAACCCATAGTGTACACATGGCATGCATCTGCAGCCTGCTCGCTCCCGGAGTTTCAGAGTATCTCGCATCTTCTCCTCCGTGCACCACTGGGCCTTTACCCGGTACTTCACAGCCTCCTTCTGCTTGAGCAGAACCTTCACACTCTTGATGAACACTTCCTGCCATGCTCAGGTATTGGTGCTGCTGACAAACGGCCCAGCCGAAGCTGCTGGTCCTTGTCAAGATTGGCTTCCTTGAGGCGGCGACGAAGCTCGGCTCTGTCATTCCCACCTTTCAACCACATCTCGTGGATTTCGCGAGGGACATTCAGAGACCTTAGTAGCAGCCGATGATGTCAAGTCTCGTACGAGTGCATGCCATGCCCCTCTGATGGTTCTGCTGGCCGTAATTATGTCACTGCACATCCTTGGAGCCCAGAGACCCATTCTTCTTTCGTTCGCAGAGCCGTTGGAGGCGTTTGCGTAGAGCATCGTCGTTGTGGTCATCGTCGGCGCTCTGCGGCTCTGCCGCATTCTGCAGCTGCTGGTGCAAGTTGCGATTCTCGACATCTTTTGCGTCCATTGCAATTTTCATATCTTCTAGCATCTTGCGAAGGTTCTCGATCTCAGTTGCAGTCTCATCGTTGGTGCCGCCGGTGGATTCAGCACCAGGGGTAGCCTTCAAAGCAACAATGGAGGGTTATAAGAGTCAGTGAGTTTCTAGAACACAGCTAGGCAAGGAGCAAATAGATTCTTCTTCAGGTCAGGTGTAGCAACAGGGGCAGGGCTTGCCAGCATCTCGTCCCCGGGTCCAAGCGCAACCTTCTTCGCAACTTTCAGGGGTGTGGTTCCTGATGGCACGGCCCCTGCAGGCATCTGTGCCATTGTTCCGGGAGACGGCGCTTGCGGGCTGCTCTGCACCCTGCGCCTCTTCTTCATGTCCTGCTACTTGCGTACAGGTTTGGGGCTGGATATGAAACGCAATGCAGTTCTATTCAGGGTAGGCAACGACAGGTCTGGCACAACCCCAACACTATGTAGTCCTCCAGCTCGGCTTGCATTTTTGCGAGTTCCTCGTCCTCTCCAGGGCTCTCCACCTTAACCTGCTGGCGCGTCAATACATCAAGTCCGGCTTGCAGGGTGCTGGCACTCCAGGATTGGCTGAGAAGTTTCTCGGGCACGGCCTGTTGTTGGCTGGCAGGGTCCATGGTGCTTCAGATAGCGGCGGCTAGCGGCTAGCAATGAGGCTTTGAGATCTTGGCACATGAGCATCTGAGGGCATCATAGTGATCGATGCACATCACGAACGCTCGCATCGATCCAAACACTTTTGCATTGCCAGCAACAGTTGATCCGGATGCTGCTGCACGTGACTGTGCGTGGCTACAGGTCACACAAACAAGGCGGCGAGTTCACGGCACGACTTATGTTTGAGGGATTTGGGGAAGTTTTCGAAAAGATGTGGGGTTTGCTTCTGCTTCCGGGGTTGGTTTCTTCTGAAAACCCTAGGACAGTCGTTCCTTGAACCCTATACAACCCTCGTTCTTATATTTATATTATGGGACTCGGTTCTGTTATCGAAGACAAAGAGAACCTGTCATGAACCTATATATAGGAACTAGTAACACCCACTTAAATAACCTACATGGCGGCTATATCATATATATGGAGGATCCGATATGAGTTTTAAATACAGTAATTATATGTTATATAAAGTGAATAGTCTATGTACAAGTATGTATGTGTGTATGTATGCATGCATGTATGTGTCTTTATGTGTATGTATATACGTATGTGAGTATGTATACATACTAATATCATAATTTACTGTGCGTGTGAAACATGGTGTGGTGTGGCCGGGTGTGCGGTTGGGCGTTCGGGCGTTCGGGGGAGGTAAAGCACAGGGGTGAATTCTCCAATCCAAACCGGTTGGAGGGGTCCGGGTTGGGTCAAGAGGGGAGGGGAAGGGGGGGAGGGAGAGGGGAAGGGAGGGCGGACGGGGCGGACGGAGCGGACGGGGCGGACGGGGTGGGGCGGACGGGGCGGACGCTGCTGAAAAAGGCCGTGATTTCAAGAAACGCACATGAGCGGCGGACGCATCCGGGCCGGACGCGGGAATCCGGCCTTTGGACGCTCAAAGCCGGACTTGCGGACGGGGCGTGTGTTCTGTGTGAATAGAAAACGCACATGGATTTGTAAAAGCGCACATGACTTGTATACGACCTAGCCACACACAGGCACATGAGTCGGCAAAAGCGGTCGCCAGCTGTCAGGGATGCGTAGGCGTCTGGAGCCCCTAAGGTAACACAAAACGGAGGTCATCTCAGCATCCTCCCATCCATCGCCCCAAGCCAGCGAAGAGTACATGTCTCGCAGATCCGTGAGTAGATCTACCTCACAAGAAAACAACGACCTCACCCATGCGTGCACCAGATAAAATCGGCATCCGAGGAACTTGGGGCACTGGATCTCTGCACTCGTGCAAAGCCTCCCGCTGGATCTCGAGACACTGGACGGCAAACGGCATGGGGTAGATCCTGAGTTGTATACAGTCGTTCGAGTTGGTTGGTTTTGCTGGAATAGGTCGAAATGCTGCATGACATAATGCATCCTTAGAACTGTGTGTCCTTCAGCTCCTTTGAAGCTTGATAGGTGGGCTTGCCGTTGGTTTTGCGAACCCCTCTGTTCACGGTCTTGTTGCCGCACGTGAGCTGCGCGAGCTTCAGTGGCGGGTGCTGGAACCGATTGATCTTGGATGTGTTACCAAGAATCATGGTGGGCTTCGGATTCGGATGGCCAAAATACTTCATGTAGAACTTCTGCTTGAATACCTTGTAAGACGCACGAATTGTGGGTTGATGGCACGACGCAATGATCTGGTTAATGCAATCTAGAGACTCGCATACCCAAACTGTCGTGATTTTCGAGAAACCAACGAAATCTGTCCGACTCGAAGAGCAAGGATGAAATAGGTTGCTCGACCAACCAAACCCCAGCTTTTGCCTCAATCACGAGCAAGAGAAGGACCGTCCTGGCAGTGGTCTGAGGTCTGGCCTGCGTCCCCGGCTCTGGGTTAAGTTGATGCATAAGCCATATTACAGTTCAGAATCTAGACAGTTCGGGCATCAGTAGCCTATATGATAGAACATTTGGGGGATCCCGGCACGAAGCAAGTAACTGTTGAGTCGGATACAGGGTCATCTTCCAAGATGTCTGCTAGGGAAGACCAGGCTATTCAGGGTTATATATATATATATATATGTATATATATATATATATATCTATATATATATATATATATACACATACCTACATACATACTTAGCTGCATACCTACATACCTACAGAGGTCTATATATAATATATATATATATATATATATATATATATATATATGTATATGGTTTCCATGGGGGTGGGTGATGCTGCTGATGGACAAAATCCTGCATCAGTTTAAGTGCCCTAAACTATGGGAGTTCTACTGGTATATATTTATATAGATATATATAGATAAGTAATGCAGGATTTTGACCATCAGCCGCATGGTTCTGTTTTAGATCAGATCAAGGTCATCGATCGGGGCACAGTAGCAGCCCAAACTTCATATCAGACCCCAAACATCAAGTGTTACCCTATATACAACTATATCAGAACCGCAAAAAGAAGTCCCTCACTCCCTCCCTGTCTCTCTCTCTCTCTCTCTCTCTCTCTCTCTTGCAATTGTTGGTCCTGCAGCTCATCAAGTTGGCCACCCTAACTTTGCGATGGCCAACAAAGCCCATGGGATTCAAAAAGCTCCTGTAGGTCGAGCCTCTTGACATCGATATCCAGGACGAACAGCAGACCCCAAGCATGCATAGTAGATGTCCATCCCTGCCCTGTAGAGCGATCAGCACGGCTAACCTGAGCTACTCATGGCGTGCACGTGCAAGACACATTGGGTTTACCTCAGTGCATGTGTGTGTGTATGTATGTATGCATGCATATATGTGTTATGTGTGTAATGTACATAGATAGACAAGTGTGTACACACACACACACACACTGCATACCATGCATGTATACATGTTTCTCTTGAAACCTAGCAACGCCATCCCTGCCGCGCTTGTGATGTCAAAGCTCGTATGGTACAGAACATCCAACGCCGCGGCACGCAGGCCGCACCTCCTGGCAGCCTTTGCGACCCTGCCTTTGCCGGCGAAATACTCGATCACGTCGTACTGCTGCTCGCTGGGATGGCTCCACGCCAGCAAAAGGACCACCGTGATCAGCACCTGAGTTGGTTTGGATTTCGGAGGGCTTATAGGGGCTATATACATTGATCCGTGCACGTACATGTCAGGCTGCGTGCTAGCGAGGCACTTTCGGGCATTTCAATGCAAAGAGTTTCCGAAGGGTCATTTCCATATGGTTTGGGATATCCATGGTGCGAGGCTGTGAACTTAAACTATCGATAGCTACGGCAGAATGCAGTGGTCATGCTACCTGTCCTGCATAAGCTGCAGACTGCCTTCCTGAGTCCTGCTGACACATACACAACATGCTGCACATGTCTTGCTGAGCTGGCCAGCATATACTTTCAGAGTGCACAAGAGGCGGTCAGGACAGACTTGTACAATCATGTCAGGAAAGCGAGGCCGCACATTGTTGTCCACCAGGAGGCCATGTCTTGCGAAGAAACCTAGTCCAGCTCGAAGGGCCTCGGAATGACGGTAGTAGAGTATATAGGGTCGAAAAACGCAGTGTCCACTGCAGCTACGAAGTACACACGGGCCGTTGTGCAAGAGTTCTTTCTGGCGACGCACGTATCATAGCAGATGCAAACTGTCGGATGCCCCCTACGGAACTTTGAAAGCACTGGCACTGCAATCAATGACACCCCTTGCACAAGTGTTTGCAGTGTTCTAGGACCGCACTGGTCCAAAATCTCACAAGCTTTCTGCTTGTGCCAACCTGTCTTGCTGCTCAGCTCGCCGCATTGATGAGGCGCTGCAGCTCTGGCACGGCCCATTTCCGCGCTTCCTCGAAACGTGGGTTCTGGAAGTCACCATCCAGCTCATCCAAGACATGGGCCTTGGGTGCAAGATTTTGCTGCCGGTAGCCCGAGGGTGCACAATCACTATAGTATCACTGGTACCGGACAAGGCGCGACCTTGTGAACGACTTTCAATATCATTGCCATGGTGGCTCCACTCATTCTGATGTAGAACACCTGATCCGAAAGGAAGCCGAGAAACCCGGTCCCCCCACCCACCCGCCCACACACACACACACCCATGCATGAACATAGTGAGAGAGATCGAGACAGAGAGAGAGAGAGAGAGGCAGCACATACTAAATATAGAAACACTGAAGACTGAAGCCCAGGCAGTCTTTCCAGTCTGGCGCAGCTTGATGCCGCACGCAGGCCGGTTCCAATACACATCCAGGTAGCCGTGCTTGAAGCTGTTCTGCACGTCACACCGGGTGCTTTTGGCTGCTGGTCGCTTTAGCACCTTGCCGCTCTTGTCATCAGCTGCACTGCGCTTTTTGCCCGCTTTTGCCCCGGACTCCGCGGATGCTGGCTCAGCTTTTCCCTTGGGTGCTGGCTTGGCTTTTCCTTTGGGTCCCGGGGCTGCCTTGGCTTTCGGTTTCCTTTTGCATGGCTCGCCATCATGATCATCATCGCTGCCCGCACCAACAGCTTCGTGTTTGTTGCGTCCGCGGCCCCGGCCCCGGCCCCGGCCACGGCCACGCCCACGATTCTTGGGGCCCCGATTGCTGTTATCATTCTCCTTGTCCTCAGCAACGGTTTCAAACTGCTCTTGCCTTGTCAAGCCATCGAAAGGCAGCGCCTCAGCAGCGCCCGGGGGATCATTGTTTGACTGCTCACACTTCTTAGCGTCCACATCTTCATCATCATCGCCCTCAACAAGATCGCACACCGCCATAGGCACAACCTGTGACTCAAGTTCCATAGCATTTTTCCGCTGCACAGGCCCTGGCGCAGGAAGCCGCACCTCAGCTAACAACACTCGACGAGATAGCACTTATTGAACACAGAGGACAACGAAGACTGCATCAGCCTGGGCAGGCTCCTGCTGCTCCTTCTGGCCGCTCTGGGCGGCCTTGGCTGCCTGCGCATCTTCATTGAAGCGACCACAACATGAGTAGCCCCTCGACTTATTATCTTTGCCCGGCCTCATTGGCTGCCTTTCGTGCAGCAATCTTCTGCCTGGGATCGCAGCATTGCATGTGTTTGGGTTGCTAAGTAAGATTGGTGACACCAGCCTTTGATACTAGCTTTGTATTCGCTAAGTAGCTCCATCTCTCGGATTCTAGCGTCAAGGAGTTCCGGATTTTCAGCCATAACGATACTCGAGGCCGCTGGCTTTGGAGGGGACGGGGTCGTCTCCACAAGCGTGTCAGCCATACTCGGATCCACGGCAGAACCCGGATCCTTCGCCACCATGGGGCCCACAGGCTCTGTAGGCGGGAGTGCAAGAGGCTCCGGTTCTTCATCGGTTGGGGCAATCTCAAGTGACACACCGTCATCATCGGGATAGTCCTCCTTTCGAGTCTGAGTTCAACTACTGAACTACTTCTGAACAAACAGAAATTTAGCACAAACCAGGTCCTGTTCAGTCTTGATGCGAATACCGCAGTCTGGCTCGTCTGGGTCTACAGGGGGATCGTCGTCTCCACCGTCCACTTCAGACTCCCACGTGTCTTCATTTTGGTCCTGTTCAGGAAACCAAGCATCGATGAACACTTGGAAGAGCTCGGCCACCCGAGGATCCTCGGCTGCACGAGCCACTCCGACGCAAAACCCTCAACCCTGCTGCAGGAGACATGCGTATTAAATTTTAGTCCGGAGGCCCTTGCGCGATGCCCAATCTTGACCCGTCTCAAGCAATAGGAAATCAGCTTTCGGAAGCCCCAAGCCTCAGCATGAAGTTGCACAGCCGTAGGCTGTACCCCTTTGCTGGTTCCGCCAATCAGCTTCCAGAACTTCCTCACCTCAGTCTATCAGCACCAGTGATATATGAACTCTGGTGATGGTTTGAACCGAGCTGCTTCTTCAAGAATGGAAGCCAGGGGCGGGGTCTTGACCTTCTGAAAAGCTGGGTAGTCATAAACCTCCACCCACTTCTTGGCCAACACGATGAGGGCGCTCGTGTTAAGCATAAGGCATTTCCTTGGACACACACACACACACACACACGCGCGGCGAGAAAAAATAGTGGGATCTTGCACAAGCCCATAGCGAGCATTTATCAGACTTCTCGCAGACATGCTTCATGCTCACAATGCCCACATCCTCTGGTGAACGCCAGTGAATGAAGTGCCCCGATTCGCGAGCCCCACGCCTGACCTGTGCTACCTCCTCCCAATCAGTGGCGAGGCCATCCAACAAGGTTCGAGCGGCCATATCAAGATTTGCGAAAGCTAAGCACGGCACTGTAAAAGTTGCTGCTGCATGCACACACAGGAAGCCGAGAGCAATACGGAAGCAAACGGACATTGCACGAGAAGCCTGAGTGTTTCACCATGACCTGAAGTTCGCCTTCAGGACTGCATGGTCACCACCCATGGAACCTGCGCAGATCGAGCACAAAATGCGGTCAATATTTCACACAATAGGTTCAAGCATAGGCGCAACACATCGTCACTGTGCTTTCGGCCGTAAAAATCTTTTCACACACGTCGTAGTCGTACCAGCTGCATCAAAAACTAGAGGGACTCTTAAGAATTGTGCTCTATATAAGTTCGCCCAGCTAGTAGCCCCGGATTAGTCAGAGACTCTCGAAGCTATCCCATAGGGTTATTCAAGGACCCGAAACAACCATCTGAGTCCCCCTTGCTTGGAAGCCTACCCCTCTTGCATATCAGGCCCTTCAGACTTCTCCGTCTTCTCCGGAGAGGTGGTGTTGATCGAATCGCCACTGACCTTATCTAAACGGTCAGTAAGGGAAATGTGCATGCTGGTGTTAAAGCACATATGTGATTGGAATGATTGAGTTTGTATTCATTAAGCCCCAAGCCGTGTGCAAGATTTCTCCACCTCCTCGCGACAGTCATGAAGATGTATTTGCTAGCCGAGTGAGGGCAGGAACCGTCCTATGTCCTTGGTGTGAGCGGACCAGATGCAGCATCAGTCCACCCCTATCATAATCGTTGATGAGCAAGCGGATGTTCTCAGGACTTGGGGCAGTCACCTGAAGCAACGATGGCACAGACCAGATCGCTGCAGGGATACGGGAGAAATGGATGTTTGGCACTTCGGAGACCAAGCTGCTGCGTTGTAAAAGACCTCAAGAACGGCTGTCCAGAAGTCGTTGGGGAGATCTCCCAAACCTCTGGTCAAGCTCCCCGGAATTATACCCGGCCTTATAATTGATAACATATTATAATCCCAAGCCTTGAGCGAATGTATGCAGACCAGTGACCACGATTTTCAAGCTCCCGGGCCAAATCGCGGTGCTCGGCACACAAGGTGTCCATCCTGCCCTCAAACCGACTTAATCTGTTTCTCAAATCCGCACACTCTCAGTGCGATCGCTTGAACCTTTGCAGCAATCGAAGGGTCGGTGCTCATGAAAAAGCCCAGCAAGAAAGCTAGAACAATCGGGCGCAATCCAAGCTGATGCAGGCCCCCAGCCTGTTTCATGAGCTTCTTGTCGGAGACAAACCCCGAGCCAGCAGCTGCGGGAGCGAATCCTTTCCTCCCTTCATCATAAAATCGCCGTAACCCACAAAAAGGACACAACTTAAGAAAAGGTACCCGGACGGCTGAAAACAGTTTCTTCCGAAAGACCCTAAATTAAAAGGTACAAAAGCTACTCCAGGTACAAATACACACTAAATGTGTGCAAATACACACTAAATGTGTCCAAATACACACTAAATGTGTGCAAATACACACTAAATGTGTGCAAATGCACACTAAATCTGCGCAAACACACATTTCATATGTGCAAATACACACTAAACTAAACCCGTGCAAATACACACAAAATCCGTGCAAATACACACTAAATGTGTGCAAATACACACAAAATGTCTGCAAATACACACTAAATCCGTGCAATACACACTATACGTGTACAAATACACAGTAAATGTGTACAAATACACCTTAAATTGTGCGTAAATTTGTGCAAATACACACTAAATGTGCACACACACACACACACACACTACATGTGTGCAAATACACACTACATGTGTGCAAATACACACTAGATGTGTACAAATACGCACTAAATGTATACAAATACACACTAACTGTGTGCAAATACACACTATATAAATGTGTGCAAATACACACTACATGTGTACAAATAGTAAATGTGTGCAAATACACACCAAATCCGTGCAAATACACACTAAATGTGTGCAAATACACTACATCCGTGCAAATACACACTAAATGTGTACAAATACACACTAACTGTGCACAAATACACACTACATGTGTACAAATACACACTAGATGTGTGCAAATACACACAAAATCACCGCAAATACACACTAGATGTGTGCAAATACACACCCAATCCGCGCAAATACACTAAATCCCTGCAAATACGCACTAAATCCGTGCAAATACACACTAAATGTGTGCAAACACACACTAAATGTGTGCAAACACACACTACATGTGTGCAAATAGACATTAAATCCGTGCAAATACACACAAAACCCATGCAAATACACACAAATGTGTGCAAATCCGTGCAAATACACACAAAATCCGTGCAAATACACACTAAATCCGTGCAACTACACAGTAAATGTGTACAAGTACACACCATGTGTGTACAAATACACACTAAATGTGTACAAATACACACTAAATGTGTCCAAATACACACTAAATGTGTGCAAATACACACTAAATGTGTACAAATACACACTAAATGTGTACAAATACACACTAAAAGTGTACAAATACACACTAAATGTATACAAATACACACTAAATGCGTGCAAATACACACTAAATGTGTACAAAAATACACACTAAATCCGTGCAAATACACACTAAATGTGTGCAAACACACACTAGATGTGTGCAAACACACACTACATGTGTGCAAATGCATATTAAATCCATGCAAATACACGCAAAACCCTTTCAAATACGCACTAATGTGTGCAAATACACACTACATGTGTGCAAATACACACTAAATGTGTGCAAACACACACCACATGTGCAAATACACACTAAATCCGTCCAAATACACACTAAATCCGTGCAAATACACACTAAATCCGCGCAAATACACAGTAAATGTGTACAAATACACACCATATGTGTACAAATACACACTCAATGTGTACAAATACACACTAAATGTGTACAAATACACACTAAATGTGTGCAAATACACACTAAATGTGTACAAATACACAACACATGTGTGCAAATACACACTAAATGTGTACAAATACACACTACATGTGTGCAAATACACACACAAAATCCGTGCAAATACACGCAAAATCTGTGCAAATACACACAAAATGTGTGCAAATACACACTAAATCCGTGCAAATACACACTTTTTGTTTCCACATTTATTTTTGTTGATCCCTTTTTATTTTTTTTTTGATCCTGAAGTTTTTATTTTTTTTTTGATCCTTTTTTATTTTTTTTTTGATCCGGCAGCCCTGGTAAGCTGTTCGGGTTCACGTTTCGGGTATAGTGCTTCGAAGTTCGGGCTTAGTCTTGTTTTTAATGCTTCGGGTATAGTGCCCCCGGGTTAAGATAGGGCCTTTTCAAAAAGAGCTCCATTATCGTATCCTTGAGTTGCGTCTGATGATACTCATGCAAGGTTTAACAGTTTGAGTCCAAAGACTGGAAGCCACTCTATAGGTAACTTGGTTGAAGTTCTCAAAATCCGCCCCCAGTAGCCGTAATCGGCCGAAACCCCTATTGACTGTTCTTAGGCCTTATGGGGCGCGCTGATTTGATTTCGAAGCCCTGTTTGAATTCAACTGCAAACCCCCAAAGTCTAAACCAGAGGCCCCGAATGATAGTACATAGTGACCCAGTTGTAGGAAGCATCAGTTCGACTTCGGAACTCTGGTGCTTTTGTGACGCTTGCTGAGGTGTCCTTTGCAGACTCTCGGCTGAAGAATACCTGATATGGGAGCTTTGACAATTAAGATGTGATTCTGCCAAGAGGGACGGCATTATTGTTATAGCAAGGTTAGTTCTGGGCCATGAATTATCCGGATTTTATGAGATTATGATGGATATAGGGCGTTGTACGGTTTTGGGCCTTGATTGTTGGCATAGGGTTTTGCGGCACGGCCCTACACCTTGGACACTGCCACCGCTCAGTAACAGCTGAATAGTACTTGTATTCATATTTCAGGTATACGAGGCCCTTAATAACATATACCGTTATCACAGACTGTTACTGTATGGGGGCAGTACCCAGCCCCAAAACCCTAAATGCCCAAACCTCTAAACCCTAAACTCCAAAACCTAAAGTGCCCTGGTAGTTTGGGGGAGGTTGCGTCGGTAGTGTTGCATGGTATGGCGAAGGCAAGATCGGAGACCATCATACCAGAGCTTTGGGGTTGTCGAGGGTTTAGGGGTTTAGGCGCCGTGGTGAGGGCTTCAGGCGGCTTGAATATGGGAGTTTTCGAAAATGGGGGACCCTACCCTAAATAGTGGAATCCTTATTATAAGCACCCCCAAAATAAGGTATCCCTTCTTCGGAAACTCCCATATAGCCCTCGAGCTTATCAACAGGTATGGTGCGCAAGCTTGCAATGCTGTCACAAGCAGCAAGCACAAGAGGAGCAGGCATGTCCGATGACCCCCACACCTCGAACTCTGAACCCGAAGCCAAGCCCACGACGAACACACCCAAAGGGTCCATTATCATTATGGTATATAATTACTTAGACCCCGAAATACCCTATAAGTATATATCATAATGATACTTGGACCCTTGGGACAGAGCCCTTCGACATCCTGCTATGCACACCCCGTAGGAGTTACAGAGGCATCGAAGGGTCCCGGAGTCTGGGAGTCCTTTGACCCTCAAAGATACCTTTTGCTTCAAGGGTTCCTTATCTTACCAAATCCCTCCAGGGACCTTATTATGGGGTCCTTAAGGGGTCTAGGGCCCTAACTATCAGGTCCTTGGAGGGATAGGGTTAATGATGATCTCTTTATATAAGTCTTGGTATGATCTGCTTGTATGGTGATTTTGCTCGGAGTCTTCAGGTGGGTTTCAGCAACTGGCAAAAATGCAAAGATTCGACCAACCAGATAAGCTTAACTCATTACGCTTTCCCGTAAACCCGAAGCCCTAAAACCCTAAACTCATACAGAATTCCCTGAACCCCGCTCAGTAACCCCACCTCGGCAAGGAACGGCTATTCGGCGCCTCTGCTGCACTGTTTTAGATATTCTCTCCTGTTCTTTAGGATATGAGCCTGCGCTTCTAACCCGAGATATGAGGTCCATTGACAAGTGACCCTCAAAGCATTATAAACCCGAACCCCGAAACCCTTAATCGATAGAAGCAAAGCCCTACACCCGAATCCTTACACCCTAAACCTCAACTCCCCCGTCCAAAAAAGAAAACCCAAAACCCTAAACCTCAGCACCCTAACACCTTCAACCTTAAACCATGAGGAGATGTACCAGTTTCCCAAAGACGGTGAGAAGGTGGACGGCGCTGAGGAGGCGAACAAGGAGGACACGAAGGAAAAGGAGGACAGGGCATCGGGTTTAGGGTTTTTAGGGGTTGACTATAAGGGTTCTGATACCATGGTGCACTTACACTGACACTGCCCCTCCCTAACTGTCGAAACGCGCACACCTCAAACTCTAAACTTTATGCTGGTCCTCCCCCTCCTCCTCTCCTCCTCCACCTCCTACTGATTCCCCACGTCTCTCTGCCCAGAGATGACGTACTAGTGTCTATGACCAACCAACCGATTCTGCTGAGGATTTTGCGAGGGCTCAAATTTTATCCTGGGAACTGGGATTAACATTTCGGCAAGCAGGGTGTAGTCTAAGGCTTATATAGCAGCAAGAGAGACTCCAGCACCCTGCATGTAGTTTAAGGAGAGATTCTTGCGGTTTCTTCAGAGGTCTATTGTTATTCTCCACTAATGATTAAGGAGTCTCTGCGTTGTAGGCATGTTCCTACTCTACACTCGCAGCCTGTGACCCCTGCAGCCGCCACAGGCCGCGTCGCCACCGCAGCCACAGCCGGACGGCATGCCGGAGATGCAGCAAGAATCTGGCATGCAGGCACAGTCCGGCATGCAACAGCTCGGGCCACAATATGGCGGGGCCCAATACGGCATGCAGCCACTGCAGCCGCAGCCCGCCATGCCGCAGCTGCAGCCGCAGCCCGCCATGCCCATGCCGCAGCCACAGGCCTTGAGGGGTTTGCTGGCGAATTCCTTCGCTTATAACTACGATGGCCATTTGTGATGGCTCCAAAAGGCAGGTTCTTAAGTGTTTTTTGGAGTGCCGCGTCGTTTAACGTCAAACAAGTCAAAACCCTTACCTAAACCGGCCCAATACCTGTAAAAGGCTATTATTCTACATACTTTTGGGGTCCAGGTAACCCAAGCCGGTGGAGGGGGAGACGATCTCGAGCTCGGGGTTTATTCCGCGATAGGCCTCAAGACCGAACCCCAGTCCTGAAGCCCCAGAAGGACCCAAGGAGTTTCGCGTGTGGGTGGTTAGGGTTCTCATCTGCCTATCAGAAGCCTAGTACTCATAGACGCATCTGCCATCACATATAAGAAGGAGTGTACCGCAACTCCCATGGTTGGTTTAGGGCAGTTGAGGTTATGGCCATTGGCAGTAGCTAAGCACAATTGGGGTTGCCAGAAGTTGTGGCGTTAGGGCTGAGGATTCGCAGCCTGTGGCGGGCGTGACGCTTTGATTGCGGGGCCTGCACGGTTAGTATCAGTGTTCTTTAAGGGTTGAAAGTCTTACTTAGTCCCTCGCGAACCTCCGAAACCCTTGTCTCATTGTTCGAGCCTAACCTCTCCGTTCTTGAACCTCGAACCTCAAATCAAGCCGCTAAACCCTATAAACCCTAAACCAAGCCTTCAAGCAGATGGGCGGCGGTGTGTCATTGTGACGTTTCATGGTCAAGCAGAGCTTCTTGATTGCAGTGCCTGCGCAGCACGCAAGGCTACAGTGATTCCACACATTTTCGGTGTAAGATTTAGCAGAAACCGAGGCCCATGTGTAGTTTTTGATGTTCAGTGTGTATGAACTTGTCTTGTCCAAGAACGTAGATGGTTGGGTTGTTTGTCACCCAGTGGTACTCTAAGATCTTCTTTGGTCTCCTTCCCAGATTGAAGGATATGGAAACAGGATACCCTTACTTGGAGGCATTATACGGGGAAGGTTCGTGTTCTTATAGCTCCCTCCATGCCCAACCATATCCGAAGAGCCGCATTCAGTTTGGCTGCTACATCGCCCGAGGCTGCTGCAGCACTCGGCAAGAGCCAAAGTGCGCCCTTGCATCGGAAAAAGGGCGGATTGCAAAGCTGTGTGGAATCCAACACTCCATAAGCTCTAAGCGCCAACAGATTCAGAGTTCAACACCCTTAACCCCAATAACTCTTACAACCGTTAAACCCGCCAAAGCCCCCCTGAACCCCCTAAACCCTAAATCAGAAAACCTTGCATTGAACTTCCCTCAACCTGAAACCCTGAACCAAGTGCGTGTCGGGGCCGTCTTCCACCCTCTCTGGGTATCGCAAGTCTAGTTCCCTAAGGGTCCATGTACCCAAATAGTATTTACTTTGGGCCCAATGTACCTGTATAGTGAGTGCTTTAAGGCCCATGTATATACTATATGAGTACATGGACCCTTAGGGGTTAGTATCCCATGCTACACCCTCCCACCGCAATATCCCTCCAATGCTAAAGCACAAACGCTCAGCAAATCTTTAACAGGCCAGCAGATCATGTAAACCCGCATGGCACCAACCCCCACCCACTTATGAGAGGATGCCAAAGACTCTGCTATCGCCATAGGCCCATAAGCCCGAAACCAGGATACGGCCGTAGACCTTTGGGCCCTTGGGACGTTGCCCGACCGCAAGCAAGAGGGGTTCAGTCGCCTCGCGTTTTAGGTCTAGTTCTTAGGGTTCAGGGTTTCGCACTGGGGTCATACTTGTTGGTACATAGCAGAAAGTCATATCATAGCAATATTGAAGTGTAATTTGCAAATTACACTTCAAGGTATCTCTCTGTTTCTGTATATATAATATATACATACATACATACATATACGGATATATCATATATCACATATATACATGTGTATATATATATATATATATATATATATGTGTGTACATATATATATATATATATACATACAAGGCCCTATTCTACACATTAAGGCCCCGATAGTCGGGTTTTTAGGGTCTGGGGCTCAGGCCTCTGAGTTTGGGCGTTGCGTCTAGGGCTGTTTAGGGTTTGAGGGCTGTGGCTTAAAGCACCACTTTCAGGACTTTCATTGTTCAACCATAGTCATAAGGAGCCCTGAACCGGCAGGCAATTCACCCCAAATCTAAAACCGTTTAGGGTCCCGCAGGTTTAGGGATCAGGTGATTACTCCCAACACTCTGAGCCCGTCAAGCTCGACTTTTGTCCATACGCTCTGAACCTTGAATCATAGGGACCCTTAGGGGGGTAGGGGGAGGGGGGTGGGGGACTATACTTTCTTAAATTAGTTCCTTATTATGGGTATTAAGGCCCCATATCCCCTCCCCCTACCCCCCCCTTAGGGTCCTTATGATTGAAGGGCTCTTAGGGTTATAGAGCTGCGGGTTTCGGTGTGGGTTTTAGGGTCTAGCCCCAAGGGTCCAGAGGACCCAACAACTAGGTTTAGGGTTTAGGGTTTAGGGTTTAGGGTTCGTTTTTAGGATAGTAGTTATGTAGGTTAAGATTTTGGTGAGTATATGATAATTAGATACTTGGACCCTTAGGGTAGGGGCCATCCAGATCGGCTTGCCTTGCAACTAGTTGATGGCAGAGCGTGTGGGGTTCAGAAAGGGCTGTACAAGCTTATTTTTTCAGGTTTTGGGTTGAGGGCTCCTATGGATAACTACGCTATGAAAAACCCCGAAACACTGTTTCGACTTTCAAGACTCCTATATTTCATAGAAAGGTTCGGACTACCCGAAATCCTGGACCATACACCCCAAGGCCTAGGGCTGCACCCTGAGCCCAGGAACCTGGTTCAAGTGCTTGTTTTTGTGGTCCCATCATGGAAATCCGATCGGGCCAATAAGCTGAGATCGGTTTCAGGCCCACCTTGGATGTATGGCCAGAAGAGCTGAGAACTCAGGTTGAATGAGAGAGGTTGTTAGTCCCTGGTAGTGCCCAGGCTGGTCTATGAGCTTCTGGTCGGCCACCCACCCTTCTGGGGCAGCACAGAGGACATCATTTTTCGAAGAGCCTAAACCCTAAACGAATCCTTCTGGTGCTCCCACCGAACCCTCATAGCACCGTTACAGGAGAAGCCCTCTAGAAGTGAGCCCGTGTAGAGCCATTTTTCAACCTGACTCTGCCCAACCCCTACACCCCATATAAACCCTGGCTAAACCCCAAAACCCTCAATTCTAAACCCTAACCAAAAAATACATAAACCCAAAAACGCTAAGCCGCAGACCCTTATGGAACTATTGTAGGTTCGAACCTTAGGAGATCCGGCAGAAAGTCCTGGCCGTTGACCTGCGCTACCCTCCGAATTTGCTGTCCCAAGAGGCCTGCCGCGCAGACTATGGTCTCCTTACGATCTTTTATGTATGTTCATATAAAGAGAATATTAGTCAGTAACATATTGTTTCTATGATGGTTCTAACGGCAGTTACACAGACGGGAGCGAAGGGGCTTTCGGGGTGTGGGGTTCAGGGGTTTAGTCAGGGTTTACATAAGGTTTAGGGGTTTGGGTTTAGGCTTTAGAGGTTTAGAGTTGGTGGGTTTAAGTCAGGTTAGGATTTGAGTCAGCGTTGGGGTTTAGGTTTAGGAACGAGGGTCTTCCTTGGGTACTGCCCCAATACAGGAAGAGTCTATAATAGGGCACCCCGAAACCCTACTTGGAGGATCAGAGGACTTAGTAAGTAAGGTTCTAAGTCCCATAATTGGGGTTATAAATAACTATAAGTATTGTTACCTCATTCATAACCCTAGTTACTACGTCCCATGATCCTTTACGCATGATAATTGTCAAGACTCCCACATGAGGCCACCAGTGTCTTTCGGCAAGATTTGGGCCGAAGGATTAAGGTTCTCAGGTTTCTGGACGGTGGTCTCCACTTTACGGGGTCTAACAGAAGATGATCCGAAAACCCAAGATTAGCAGTATACCACCCTATACCCTAATCCCAAACCCTACAACTCCAGGCCATTGTGGTCTTCCGGGGCCTTCTGCAGCGAGACCCGAGACGTGCCGGCCTTGACAGCTTTGTTGGTTGAAGGGTTTCGGCATGGCAGCGGATAGGGTTTGGGGTTCGGAGCTGTGTTTCGCGATATACAATTTTCAGACGTGGGGCCATGTGGGGATTGTACGGATTTGCGCAGTCTTGTGGGAGTGTGGCTTTCGATGGGTCCAGGACTTGACAAATTACGGGGGGTTTGAGGCGAGGCTTGGTGTTCAGGGTTTGTAGGGTTGTCTGCTCCGAGCTTCATCGTCTTCGTGTTTATGAGGGCTTCGTTATCTATGTCATGTTGTGGGGGGCGGGCTGAGCAATTATAGCTTCCGTCGATAATCCTGGATCGCCTTCCCCAACCATCCCCATACACCCGAAGCTATTGAACGAGGTGTCTAAACGTTTCCCAGAACTACATAGATTCAGCTGGCACCCGCAAACCCCAAAGCGATCGCACGGTCGTTTGCATAATTTTAAGGAGGGGTTTCTACTTTGGATGTATTTTTCTGTGTTGTTGTGGCGGGGGATTGGCTCTTTTAGCCTTTGGTATTCAGAATATACTATATTCCATAATTTACCTGAAAACGCTGCTTCGAAAGTTCGGTATGTCCATTTTATGAGACCGGTGCAGTGCAGAATCGATAGCAAGGCAACTCATGAGCATGGACGAGTTTTCAGACTCGTTCACGCAGTTTATAGTTTATAGGAGCTGAAGGCTCATAGCTTACGCATCAGGATCGCCTTGAGGACTTTCAGCATAGCCCGACCCGGCCGAGGCTTTGTGGAAACGCATAATTCCCTGCAGTTCCCAGACCTTCCAAAATCCCTTAATTAAGGAATATACCTTAAATCATATTAAGGATCTTACTATAGTTTAAGGTATATTCCTTAATCAAGGGGTTTTGGAAGGTCTGGGTTCTCCTACCCTAAGGGTCCAAGTATCCAAATAGTAAGGTTTCAAGGTCCAAAAGCCATTCAGAGTATGGATTTTGGGACCTGGAAGCCTACCATTTGGGGACTTGGACTAGCTGTGCCCTCGTAGTTTCGCTTTGGCAGCCATGGTGTCTGCTTTTGAAGGTATCGATAAGGTGCTTGACAAGCAGCCCAGAGCACCCTTGATGGTATTCGTGACGGGCAACATGGACAGCTACTTCCGGATGACAGGCGACGTACGTGACTCGGAGGACTCGAAGGACAAGGCCTTGATCGTCGGCTATGGTGCCGAGATGTCTTACACGAAGCCGTACCAGTGTCCAAAACCATTCAATTCAACATGATGTGCAGACTTCTGCATTGCTGCACGATGTGTGTGATTCGCCTCATTCCGGCCCTCCGAACACGCCTTTCCACTCGTTGGGCAGACGTGGAGTTATCAAAGCGGGACTTGAGGAGCAGAAATGCAGTGTCTACGACTACATGTGCATGGACATCGACGTTCGCGCACTGGGCTTGAAGGACCTGGAACACGACACCGTTGAATCCAGGACTCGTTCTACATGCTAGTTGTTCCGACGGGCCCCGACATGCGCTCAAAGCCTGAATTGTCGTCAATACTTTTGCTTGCGGCTCCTTACTGTACCTACAGTATATCGTATACCCCACAGTCCCATTCCAATTACCAAGGCCCCTATATTGCACGCAATGCAAACTTTAGAATTACACAGATAAAGCATTGCAAGACCCTATA